ACTGAGCTCCTCCACCATATTGCAGTGATTGCTGTGTGCCGCTGCCTCCAAAAACGCCAATCAGAATAAAGTTTACCAGACAGCTTCCTATCAACCGCCTGAATAAACAAAAATAAGAGACTGGTGAAACCGTTTCACAGCTAGTTTAGAGGCTGAGGGATCTCCCTCCCACAGAAATCGAGGTCTGGATTTGATGGGGGTTTTAATCACTTCTTGTAAGCAGAGGTGTATAGGGCAGGAAGACAGCACTTCTGGGAAACGGCAGAGCTCTTCTGACCATTTTTCCTCTAATAACTTCATTTGCACAGAACTGAAACTGTCCCTGCAGTCACCAACTCCACACAATGATTAAACCAAAATATGCAAAACAGAGTTGTCACAAGCGGGGGGTAAGGTTGCTTAAGGACCCAGATGCAGAGCCGAGGGAAGCAGAGATAGTTCTGACAGGTTTAATTGAAGAACAAGGAAACAGAGGTACAAATCCAGAAATCTAACTAAAAACTTTTTAGTAAAAAGTTTAACAAACCAAAAACCACGGAGACATCCGGGGGAAAACGAGCCTGAGGAGCCACGGGGAGATGAGCTGAGTAGATGAGTACGGCATTGAGAAGGAACCAGCACTGAGTGATGGCAGAGGTGGAGTATTTAAGGAGAACAAAACAAAGGCTGGACTAACGAGCTGAATGAGGAGCAGCTGTGGGTGGAACTGGCAAGAGGGAATCCAAGGGGAAAGAAAACAATCACAAGGGGGCGACAGAGAGTAACTAAAGAATGCTTGAAGATCATGGAAAATAAAAACAAAACAACTGATAACAGAAAACTGAAAACTCAGAGTCACAACAAATGAGAAACATAACAAGAGTTTATTCAAACCATTAGGATGAAGAGAACATTAGCTAATAAGCATGAATCATTCTACTTCTTATACATTACCCATACAGGCACGGATCATACAAACATTTTAGCAAGTTTTCCTAACCTTTCATCTGAAAAGGTTTTTATTTTGCTTATGTCTCATAACATGTCATAAAAACGGAACCAAATACTGCAAAAGACACCTATATGTGTAAACAGATGTAGATAAAACCAATACAAAACTTATAAAATACACAGTGCATGGAAGGCAAAGGAGAACAGTGAGTTTCCAAACTATATTTTAAACCATAAAGAGATGCAGCCTTCCTGTCTGTGCAGGATTTATAGAAAGACTTTGGGACAGAAAGAAGCATCTGGTCTAAGATGCATAATGTCTGTCCTTTTTTCATTAAACTAAATAAATTCAGAGTAATTCACTGCCTGGAATATGTGGAAGGCCAAAATATATCAGTAGATACATATATTACATACATATTACATACATACATACATTTGCTGTGAAACAGATAAATGATTAATTGAATATATTTTCAAAATGCACTTAAAATACTTATAATTATTTAACCTTTATGCATAGATAAATAAATAATGAATCAAATTTATTTTTAGTTTTTCCACTGCTGAAATATTTGGGAGCCTCTGATCTAGAGCACTAAATCACAGAGCTGCTCCTTGATCAACGACAATGGCGTCTTGAGATCAAACAAAATTATGTCATTAAAATTAATTAAAGGCATAAAATCATCACTTCAATATGGACAAAAAAAAACTGTGTGTGCTGATGCTGCAGAAATGTAGAAATGACTTCAATCTACATTCAATTATAAAAAAAAATGTTTTTTATTTCAATTCAATGCAGTTTATTTATATGGCGCCAATTCACAACGCGCACTACCAGATCATACAAGCACCGTTGCTCATTTGGTTCTGCTTTTCTCAGCAGAAACTTGAAAACTTTTCACACCTGTGGAATTTCTTCAGGTTTTGCGATCAACAGACTTCAAACTTTATTTTGTGCCAACAACAGTCTAAAGTTACAAAGTTTTTATCAAATAGAATTCTGAAATGTGAGGCTTGTATTCACATCCAGCCCCTTTTATTTTGAAAATCAAGGAGCACAGCAGACGGGATAGAGGTGAAGCAGTGGAAAAGTTGAAATCAGCGTACAGTCAATCTATTGAGACAATAAGAAAGAATACAAAATGATGTATTGTTTTAGAAACAGAAAGCAATGGAGCCTTCCTGACATGCAGTAGTTTTACTAGACTTCCATACCTGCAAGAGCTTAGATTAAATATATATTAAGTATACAAACTTCTCAAGTACTACCTGATTACAGCCCATTTTAACGGGGTTACTAACATGGAGCAGAATTATTTCTTATTCTTTAAGTCAGTCTGTTTAACAGTGTCACCACTAGAGAAAAGATTGAATCATTAAATCCCAAACTGGAGACATGGAAGGAGCAGTTTAATGAAAATATTTCAATCATCAGAGAATTGACCAGAATGATTTACATTAAGCTTCCTAAATGACAGAAACAAACATCTAATCTAGAAGGAAAATGACTTCATTCTAAGTAGATAAAGCAAACATGTATAAGTCCAGTGAAAGTAAATCACTTTTACTTGCTTTATATAGAGTTAATAGAGGATTATATTTTTACCGTGAAATTCTGTATGAACGTGATGAACTAAGTGTTTATAATTTTATCTATAAGTATGGACTTTGATGTAAAATGATTATTTTTTACCTCTATCTTAAGAATATTAGGGTGAAAGGTCACTGAGTTAAATATTACATTTATAGAGGTGTTACAGGTCAAGCGGTTCGTGCTCCTTATTGGATTAAATTATCGCCCAATTATTGCAACCATGGCTGGGATTAAAGCTATGCTAGAATATACAATTATGGAAAAGATACCCTTGACTTGAAAATAAACTGTATGCATTAAAAAAGCAGAATGTTTCTAACAGAAAAGGACTTTTGCTACTTTCATATATGAATAAAAGCTACTAAAGGTAATTCAAAGTACCTTTTTATGGATCATTCTTTGACTTTTTTCATTAGCTTATTTGTTCAGTGAACTCTGCAGTGTGAGACTTAATGGGATGAAATTTAATAAGTTCCTCTGTAGCCACAGCTGCTCTGGGGCAAACCGGTAAAAGCAGAAGCATGTAGCTTACTCAAAAAAACTGTACGAATATCAACAGTACGTAATCACATTTACAGTAGTAGTCATCCAAGAAGTAAGTCAAGAAAGAGAAAAAACCTATTCAGTAAAAAGGCCACTGAACAACTGAGAACCTCATAACATCTAATTTGCTATTAAAATTATGAAATAAGGACAAAATGGGAAATATTCCGGTAGTTTATATAAATAATCAAAAATAAATGAATGTTATTGATAATATATCCAAGTAGAAGAAACACTTATTCAAACTCATAAAACTCCTGTAACTGTGACTTCATCAAATATAACTAAAGCTTGTGACCAAAATATTAAAAAATTCATTATGAAGAAATAACGGCGTCTTTGTGTGGTGCACTTTTGTTTAAAATAAGCTTGTTCATTATTTAGTTACGTTAATCAGTAAATGTTTGACTCAAGTACTAGAAGTACTGCTTATTAAAACGAAAAATGAAAGTTTGCTTTAGTCCAAAAGTTGTTAAAAAAAAATTAAATGTAACTAGTTACTACCTACCTCTGAAACTAAGATAAAAAAAAAAAAAAAAAACTTTTTAAAATGGAAAAAAATGTATATTTTGAAGACTGAAATCAAATGTTAAGAAATTTCCAAAACTTTACCAAATCAACTTTCTTTAAATGACAGATTAATGAAACTAATCCTTGGATCAGGTAATGTGAAGCTGTTAGTCCCTCCAGTGTCAGTAAACTGTGCATCACTGACCTCCAAAGGCAGCAGATGGAAACTAAGCTTAAAAAAGGTGATTTTAACATTTGTAGTTAAAGCTAACTTATATTTGCTCTGTCATTGAAAAAAATAGTGGATAACTAATACAATTATTTTCTCAAAAACTTCAGGAAATATAATTAGTTATGACCCAGCTTTAGTAAGGGTGATGAAAAAGTCAATGTGAGTAAAAACACAAATTTTAATGAAACTTGAAACTGAAGAGCCAGAGGGAAGAACATTAAAGACTCTTCTCCACATGGCATCTATTACAGCAACCTAAGAGGGACAAAATAACTGTTATCCCTGGTTCAAAGGGTCGACTTCAAAGCAGGACTTCACATCTGCTCTGATTAGACTGTCCAATTTAAAATCACTGCCCAACTTCAAATTGATGCAGGTTGCTTTAAAATGTCTCCAGTGATGGACCCACAGGTATCTACTGATCCAAACACACTTAGCTGCTTTTAGAATTTAGCTTTATTTCATTCAAAACGTCAGAATAAAATGAGGCAAATCTCTGAAAGTCTGCCCCAACAGGAAGCCCAGTGCTTCCTTTATGTCTTTGCAGGAAATGCTTTTCTCTGGCTGAAATATAATCAAGTTTAATAACAGAAGAGAAGCTCTACAAATAAAAGATGATTTAGAGCAGTGATTCCCAACTGGGGATATGCGGACCTCTAGTGGTCTGCGAGAGCATTGCAAGGGGTACATGAAAAATATTTCTTAGGTAGTAAAATAAAATAGGATAGGATCTGTTGAACTGTAAAATAACAAAAAAATAAAACAAGTTCTTCAACCAAACAGTAAGGTTTTATTATATGTTTGAATTCACCTTCAGCTCTGACAAACATCAAAGCCAAGCAGAGGAACAGACTGGATGTAGAGAAATAGTCTTTCTTAGCCTGGTTTCTGCTGTTTTTCCAGACTGAGCTATCAGAGCTCATCAAAGCAGCTCGTTTAAACTTTGAATGTTGAACTCAAAGTAAAAATAAATGGAGTCAGTCTAACTATAATTTCTGTCTTACATATTGTTTCCAGTTTATCAAGTTTAAATGTAAGTATAGGGGAGTTACTCAGAGGAGCTCCACTTTTAAAAAGGCAGATTTATAATATTTTATTTTGTATTTATTTTTGATGCCTTACTTACTTCCAGGTAACATGTTTGAGATGTTAAAGACCCTGATCACCCAATAACAGCAGCTCTTGTTCACCAAAACATTTCTTTATTCTTTATAACAGAAAACATGTTAACTATTTACAGATTTATAACAGAAGAAGACATCCCATAATGTCTTCACGCGTAAATGCCTCTTCCTTTCAGATGAGGAAGACGATGTCATCGGCCACCATGACCTGGTTATCGTCCTGCATTCGGGCCAGGGCGCCGCGCACCTCGGCCTCAGAGAACCGACTCTCCCGCTCCTTGTTGACTTCGTCCATCAGCTTCGTCATCTTCACCGACTGGGCGTGCGCCGACTGGAAGACGGCGAACAGGGACGACTTGAACTCCTTCAGCCTGGAGGACGGGATCAGAACCGCAGGTTTGGGTTTAAGCTTCACCTCATGAGCTCAAAATAAATTCTAAAATGTTCTGCAGGGTCTTACCTCTCAACCGAAAGCTCGGCGGCATCAGCCTGCGCTGTCGCCTCCATAGGCTCCTCCTCCTGCCGGGCCCTGGCTGGTTTCGAGGTGCCGGACTGAACTGCAAAATAAACCTCAGAGTGAGACCTCTCACAGATTGTCTCTTCTTTAGTCCCCAGAGGAAAGCAAAGCTTAAATCCTTTAATCTGGGTTTAATGTCTTTACAGAAGCAGACTTACTATCAGGGACATCCTGCTCTTCGCTGAAGTCATATGGGCTGCGAGGTTCGCTGCCCTGAGAGGCATGCCGCCCCCTGCAGGACAGAAGGACATATTTCATCTATCTGATCCCATTTTGGTGACATTTTTCATTTTATGGCACCAGAATAAAGGGGTTTGAACCAATGTCTAAAAAGGTTGATGCTTTGCATCATTTATTTTCTGTAGAACACTTGATGACGTCCATTACCTCTTGCGGGTTCTCTGTGGGCGCTGGCTGGCAGGCGCCTCCTGCTCGTCCTCCTCCTCTGAATCGGAGTCGCGCTCCTGCCTCGTGCGCTTCTTCTCCTTCTCCAGGACCTAAACGGTACAAGGAGAAAAATAAATAAAACAATGTAGCAGAACTGCTTTTTTGACCCGTTTACACCGCTTTTAAAGATGGCGGACCTTTTTGAAGTAGGCGAACTGGACCAGCTCCACGGCGACCTCCGTGTCCTCCAGCTCCACGGCCTTGCTCATGCGGGCCTTGGCGTGCGCCGTGGAGAGGCGGATCAGCGTCTCCAGAGTACGGGCCGTCACTGGAGAGGTCTGGAGGGGAAGGGGGGTTAGCTCTGAGGGGGATTTATGTTTTGTTTTTAAAGGAGGCGGATGGGATCTGCTCACCCTGGCGATGTCGGCCGCCACCTGCTCCTGGCTCCTCAGCCTGGAGTACTCCTCTGCGATGTGATTGGCTGCTTCCTCTGTCAGCACGGGGGTGATCATCTTAGCGATGTGGATGTACTTCCTCATGAACTCCTTACTTAAAATCTTGTCCCTGGAACAGAAGGAATTCCTCATATACTCTTTGCACACTTTATTAACTTTGGTTTGGTTTCATTGGTTTCCCTGCTTACTTCTTCTTCCTGCTCCCGTGCAGCAGGTTGTTGTGTTTCTCATAAATCTGCAGCTCTTCATGATCCTCCGCTGCGGCGTCCGGGTCCTCTGTGGCCAGCACGTCCACCGACCCGCCCAGAGGCATGGCTGGAGGACAGACAGAGGGATGCATCAGAACGTGCGTCGTGCTCCGTGAGGTCCCCTTACAGGCCGCCATCAGTACCTGCTCCGTCCTGCTCGCGGGGGTCCCTGTAGCGATGCATCCGCAGCACGTGGTCGGAGATCTCCCGGTCGTGTTCGGGGTCCATCTGGTCCAGCATGATGAAGAGCAGGTCGAATCGGGACAGCAGAGAGTCCTGCAGGCCGATGTTCTCCATGGGGGTTTTGTACTGGTCGTACTGTGGAAGAGACAGAGCGCAGTGAGCGGCGAGTTTCAAAGCAGGACGCCCTGCAGCGCAGCTTGTCTCTAACTCACCCTTCCGTAAACCGGGTTGGCCGCCGCCAGTACGGAGCAGCGGGCATTGAGGCGGGCGTGGATCCCCGCCTTGGCGATGGTGACGCGGCCCTGCTCCATTACCTCGTGGATGGCTGTGCGGTCCATGTCAGACATCTTGTCAAACTCATCAATGCACACAACGCCGCGGTCGGCAAGCACCATGGCGCCGGCCTCTAGGCGGCGCTCTCCTAAAGAAAGAAAACAGCCAATTCACAACACATACATCTCAAGGCACTTTACAGTTCACCAGATCATCTAGTCAAATTGATTTAAAGTTTTCTACCTAAGCATGCTTGTAGCGACAGTGGAGAGGAAAAACTCCCTTTAACAATTTATTTATTGCCTGATTCAAACAGGGATATGAGACGGAGAGGAAAGAAAAATGAGGGAAACGTACCGGTCTCCTGGTCTGTGGTGACGGCAGCGGTCAGACCCACGCCAGAGGAGCCGCGGCCAGTGGTGGGGATGGCCCTGGGCGCCGTGTGGAGCACGTAACGCAGCAGCTGGGACTTAGCCACCGAAGGGTCGCCTGAGGGAGAGCAAACAGGGTGAGGAGAAAGGAAATCAATAAAGATGCTGGAAATTTGCCTCCATTGTTAATTTAAAGCTGAACAAAAAATAAAAACTTTACAATAAATGTATATTTTACTGCTAAGAAAATACTTTATATTAGTCGTAAAGCAGAACTCTGAACAGGAAGTGAATGAACTCTCAGGCTGCAGTACCGATGAGCAGGACGTTGATGTCTCCTCTGATGCGGGTGCCGTTCTCCAGGACCTTCTCCACTCCGCCCAGCAGCATGCAGAGGATGGCCTTCTTGATGTATTCATGGCCGTGGATGCTGGGAGCCAGCGAGCGGGCCAGCTGGTCAAACACTTTCTAAGGAGGGAAAGAGGTGGATCAGCCTCTTGGCACAAGATCTCTGCCCTTTAAACCAGCAGCTGACCGGGTTCAGACTTACTACAGAGTGAATCCGACTGAAGTTCCTGATTTTAGCCACATCGTCTGCAGAGAAGGTGCGAGACACTTCTTTGCTCATTTGCTTCACATGGCACGCTATCATGATGGTCCTGTAGGGGGCAGCAGTAAGAGCAACATTTAGCCACCAATTAAATCTATCTTTCTGATAATGAGATATTTCTGTATAATTACACATTTTTAAAGTTCCTACAACCAGTTTTCTACCCCTAATGACGCATCCACTGCTCAATAACCTGCTGTGGAAAGTCCTGTGCTCTGGTGCCCTCTAGTGGACAGTCTTAGTAGAACAGATGTACAGTGCCAGTTAAAAGCAGAGCTTTGATGGAGCATAAAGCTGTTTTTTTCAATAGTTCTCAGACTTGTTCATACAGCAGTTCTAAATATATCAAGTAAAAAATCATGAAAAATTTATAAGCATAACAGCAGGGTTTTAGTAAAAAAAAAAAAAAAAAAAAATCTGTGAGAAATGTTACTATATCTTATACAACTATAATATGGTTCAATAAATCTTATTTACTACACTACATAATGATATACTGTATAACTACAATTTAGTCATTGTGGGACAAAGATTTCCTATTCACTTCTATATTTAGATTAAAATATGTCAGTTATGTGGAAAACATCCAACATGTGTATTCATGAAAGGTATCCAAATATTCAGCTCAACATTTTGTACACTGAAGCTATTCTGGAGGATTTCTTAAAAGATCCGACCTCTCCACTTAGAAAAAAAATAAAAATGTGTGCACGCAAGAGCCCAATTCTCCTTGTGCACGAGTGCAATGCTTTTCGAGGAGACCTCTCCTCGAAAAGCATTGGTATCTTCCTCCTTTTAGGCCTTTCTTTTCTTCTCATACACTTTGTGGACATTTTTTTTCCTTACAACCCTCGGCCATTTTCAAAGAACCGCAGTGGGAAGTTGAGCTTCAATTACTGTCTGAAACTGTAGCTTACTACAGATATACGCTTGAAAGTGTGCATGTGGAGAAATAGATAGCTAACAGGACGACCTTATGTAACGTTTCACCAGAATGATTGAAAATTAGAAGGACCACTTAAAGGAGAAGTTCGGTTTTTTACACTTTAAGCCCATTTTCTGTAGTGTCCAGGATGAAATCGAATGATCGACACCAAAATTTTGACAATTGCTCCTGTCTCTGCTTTTTGGCTCATTTAGAATCACCCCCTGGCTGCTTTAGAATGGCTTCCATAGAGCATGTCCGATAATGTCCTTAAAACAACCTTAAACGTTTTTTTTCAAAATATGCTACTCACCGGGTCGTCAGCGCTGTTCAATGACGTTCCAAAAAAAGTTTTGTAAAGAAAAAAACGTTCCTGTCTTGTTTTATTTAGCATTTTGTAAATCCCATTGAGTTCTGTTGGAATAGTCAATATTCCGCTGCCACCGGAAATGGGGCCTGTTTACACAGTTGTAGTCTTTTCGCTTCACTCTGTGTACTCCGACGTCGAGAATCAAGAATCCACCTTTCGTATTCCATTTTCAGAGTTTTTTAAAAGTGTTTAACAGAGACGTTAGCACCTCGACGTCGGAGTACACAGAGGGCCGGATCTATCAAAGGTTTGCGTGTATTAAAACGTGAGCTATTTCACTGCGCACGCTAAAAAATGTACAAACTGATCTATCAACAGCGTGCTAAAAGGATTTGGTCTTTAAAACGTGCTAAATAGCGCCTCTTATCCATTTAGTACTTTTTCTGCTATGAATATGCAATATGGGGCGTTTACACGCTAAAGTGCGTCTTGTGGGAGGAGAACATGTAAATATATTAATTTAGCACTCGCAAAGTGATTTATCAAACCTGAACGCAATTTTGCTAACGGTATCTGACTCTATATTTAACACGTTTCAAAAGAAGGTGCAAATGGTCTGTATGCGTAATTGCGCACACATGGCAGCGGTTATTGTCGCAAGAAGGAGACATGGAAATGAAGCAAGGAGACGCAGAGAACGCATTTTTTCACTCCGTGTGAATATTTTTGCAATGTACGAGGAAACGATCATCAAAACATATAGTTTATCCAGCATTGCCATTTTGGAGCTGTTGGGGGAACTCCGAATGGATTTGGAGCCAGCCACAAGGAGGACCCACGCAATACCAGATATCACGAAACTCCTTGCAACATTGCACTTTTTTGCATCTGGGTCATTCCAGCGTACGGTTGCAGCGAGAGCTGGGATCTCCCAATCTCGTTTTTTCAGAAGTGCTGTCCGACGGGGTCGGGGTTCTCCCCCTGCACCTGTGGAGCAACATGCTAATGCTGCGGGGATCTCATCCACAGTCACAGGCCAATACAAAACACCTGTTTTTTTTTTGTTTTTTTTTACTGCAGCACATACCACCTTAGGGAATAAAGGTTGCCAATTTATATATATATATATATATATATATATATATATATTTACTTATTTATTTTTTTTGTTGGGGGTCACTGTAAGATTTAAATTTCTTAATGCACTAGTTTGTACAGACTACAAACTACTTTGCCGCAAACCACAAAACGCGCAAAACCATCATTTAAATAGGGCGTCTCCAACAGTTTTGCACCTTCCACCAGTTACGCAATCGCTCTTGTTAAATCACCCGCAAACCATGGTTCAGCCCCTCGCGCAAAATTCCAGTTTGCGAGCGCAAATTACTGCACGCAAAATTGGATCTTGATAAATCCGGCCCAGAGTGAAGCGAAAAGACTACAACTGTGTAAACAGGCCCCATTTCCGTTTCCGGTGGCAGCGGAATATTGACTATTCCTACAGAACTCAATGGGATTTACAAAATGCTAAATAAAACACTACAGGAACGTTTTTTCTTTACAAAACTTTTTTTGGAACGTCATTGAACAGCGCTGACGACCCGGTGAGTAGCATATTTTAAAAAAAGAACGTTTAAGGTTGTTTTAAGGACATTATCGGACATGCTCTATGGAAGCCATTCTAAAGCAGCCAGGGGGGGATTCTGCATGAGCCAAAAAGCAGAGACAGGAGCAATTGACAAAATTTTGGTGTCGATCATTCGATTTCATCCTGGACACTACAGAAAATGGGCTTAGTGTAAAAAACCGAACTTCTCCTTTAAGATGATCCACCCAGAAATTAAAGATCGTCCTCTGTACCTTTGAGGTTAAATGGGCTGAGCCGTTACTGAAAGCTGAATCCTACCTGAAGGTGCCGGAGGTAAACCCTCCCTTCTTCCCAGGCAGGCAGCGGTACGTCCCAACCACCTGAACTCTGTCTCCAGGTTTGACCACGTCCACCAGATCGTTATCCAGGATGATGTCCACAGAGCGGGGCAGCTGGCCAGCAGGGGCCTTCTCTGGCATCTCCTGCACCGTGATGGTCTGGTGGTCCTTGTAGATGGACAGACCGAACTCTGTCTCCAGAGGGTTGTTCTCCTCGTCCTGTCGGGATATATTGATGATGAAGCTCTGGTTTTCCTAACGTTACTCTAGAAGGACAGCTAAACCCAGAGTGCGTACCTTAGTGGGATAAATGGCGCTAGAGGGGAAGGCGTCCAGGGAGGTCATGTCTGTGTACTTCCTCTCCATCGTCTTCTTGGTGGCGGGACAGTAGTGAACGCTGCGCACTACTTTGGGACGGACCAGGGAACCTAAGCGTCGAAGCAGAGAGTGAATAAAGCAAGCAGCGTACACAGATCTACCCCTGAACACAAGTACAAGCCGTAGAAACTCACACTTTGTGATGATGCCCTCCACGCACACCATGCTGCCCAGCAGGCGGGAGGTCAGGGTCCGAGGGGAGACGTGCTTAGAGCCGAAGCTGCCCTCCAGGCCGATGAAGAACTCCTCATGCTGCTTGGCGTAGGTACCGTCCACCGAGGCCACCAGGTCCTTCAGCGCCCGCTGGAACGCCAGCAGCTCCTCGAACGCATTGTTCATCAGTCTGTGGAACAGGAAGCACCATTAGGCAACGACGCTTTTCACACCCAATAAACTCTCACATTGAAACCAATGTTTGAGTTTATCTTGAGAAATATTAGATTCCAGTTTTCTGATTAATGTTGTTGTTGTTTCCAGGCAATTGACTGAATACAGTGCAGGACACCTGTAGCACATTACAGTGACACTAGGGTTAACCATCAAAAGACACAACTAGGAATCAAGATGGGGACTTGTTCCTTTTTCTTAATCCTAGGATTATCACAGCAGTGTTACAAATAGCGATGCCAAATACTAGTAATGAGTCCAGCAACACTGATGTATCGGTGCATGAGTCCAGCCCATAGAGCAAAACTCTGTATCGGTGAGCGAGTTGTTTCAAAAAAGTTATGTGACGATCAATGATTTTAAAATGTGTATAAAAACATCTCTCAACATTATGCATCTGTAATAAAAAAAAATGTCTTGGCTTTTGCAGTTTATCATTAAAATCAAGAATTTTTGAGCAGCCTAAAAGGAATAGGAGGGTTTTGGCCGTTGCCGTATGCCCTAAATGTTCACATAATGATATACATTAACATTATTTATTGGCTGCATATAAAAATATTAAAAATATTTTTACATACTTTATATTTAACCATAGTTATAAAATAATACAATATAACCTACAATAACTAGTATATCATTGCAATAGGTCATCAAATCAATTCAGTTTAGTTCAAATAAGCTGCCTGTAGTGTATTTAAATGTCCAGCAGGTGTCAGTATTCTGCGAGACAGTATCAATACAGTTTGGCAATGAAATACTTTGAGATGCCTCATTAAACCATCACTACCACATACTTAAAGATCTTACCCATAAAGTGATTGAAACGAATGACAATTTAATCGCTGGATTTTAAAACATAAGAAATTAAATGAGATTAAATGAAGTTTAAAGGGTGGAAAGCACTTTTAAAGCTGAAAACAGCTGAAAGGCAGTAATTTTATAAAACATATTGATCTGATCTGGTTTATTACTTCCTCCTAATGACACATTAAGTAGATGTAAATGGCTCAGAGTGTTTCAGACCCGTTTCCATCTAGTTTCATGTGACTCCATGTTTCTGTGTCTTACTTTGCAGCCCGGGCCTCGTTGCGCCTTCTCAGGTCGTTGATGTTCACGATGAGTCGAGCTTTATTCTCACCGATCATATCCCGGACTTTGCTTTGGTAAATTCCCTGGTCTTGCTGCGATTTGAACAGAAACACAGGCGCTACACGTGAGGATGTGTTTTTTCCTTCATGCAATGGTGTCTTTGTTCTGCTCACATCATTTTTCTTTGGAAATATCTAGTAATTTTAAGCCACACTTACATCGTCGTCCAGAAAGTCCAGGTAGTCTCTCTGAGCCTCCCTCATTTCCCGGTCATCTACGACGTCGGTGGCCATTTTCCTCTGATAAATGAATTTCTTCTCAAACAGCTTAAGGAGAGCTTTGCCTGCTGCTGGATCGCCTCACCACAGACTGAGCGAGTTTCGCGCCACTGCGTAGAGCGAGCGAGTAAAGCGTGACACGCGATTGGCTAAAAGGCAACCTTCTATTTAGCATCGTTGGCGGGTAGATGTCAGGCTAGCCAATAGAATGCCACGGGTGGTGGATGACTCCGCCCACTAGAAGAATTGCCGCGAAAACTAGCAGGAAGAGGCGGGGCATTTTTCTACATGTTGCGTTTAATGGTGGTTGACGAGAAGTTTTGGTGCATGTCACCATAGATATCCATAAATCTATGCATGTCACCATCACCATAGACGCCTCATTGGACGCTGTTACTAGCGAGGCCGACGTGCCTAGAGGGCGGCCATCTTGGATCGGACCACAGTTCAGGCAGCAGCTTTCAGAATGAATAGGAGGCGCCTTAGATCTCATTTAAATCACATTAAAGACGAGTCAGAGATATTACAATAATCTCTTGTCACAACCCCTTATAACACCAGAATAAATTTCAAAATTACCTTTTAGTTAGATTACACACATTTATTCAGATGAAAAAATATTTAAACTGAACTGAAATTGGATGAGATATATGCAAAGTTATATACTTTATTATATTAATATGATAGACACAAAGTTTTATATAAATATAAGATCATGTTTTACAAATATATATTTATATAGTATATTATTCCTATTATTTAGTATTTTAAATAATTGCTCGATAAGTAGACAAAACATTTATTTTATATCCATTTTTCATGCATATGTGAACATTTGTTTTTTACCAATTAATGTGGGTCATAAATAAAAATCTACTTGAGTACAGTAACGAAATACTTTGTTACTGTACTCAAGTAGATTTTTCTGATATTTTTACTTTACTACTTATTTTTATGGCGACTTTTTACTTCTACTCCTTACATTTTTACACAAATATCTGTACTTTCTACTCCTTACATTTTAAAAAATTGGCTCGTTACTTTAGTTTTGAATCATTTCAATGGAGTTACCGTTATTTTTTTTCACGTCATCAAAACCAAATTCAATCTAATTGGATGGGAATCTACGTTGCATTTGACGCACCACTACAAGATGAATCGACAGATTCGACGGTATTCATTCGCTGCAAATCATTGCAGCTTGGTGGCGGTGGCGTTAGCATAGTAGCATGGCCGACGAGGTGATTGAAAATGAACACAACGGAGATCTAGTCCTATTGGCAGACATCCATTTAAAATGTAGGCAACGGCATGAAAAAAGTGGTTTCTACTTTTACTTTTATACTTTAAGTAAATTTACAAGCCTGTACTTTGTTACTTTTACTTGAGTAAAGAAGTTTAATCAGTACTTCCACTTTTACCAGAGTATTTTTTAACACAAGTATCTATACTTTTACTCAAGTACGGAAAGTGAGTACTTTTGCCATCTCTGTATGTATATATATATATATATATATACACACACACATACATACACACACATATTGTCTGTGTACTTGTCCTGTTAGAGCTCCGTGTGGCATTTGATACAGTTGATCATATTCTTTTAGAGAATTGAATATTTTGTATAAATTAAATAAACAGCACTAGAATGATTGAAATATCTGATTGATTTCAGTTTGTTCACGTTAATGATAAATCTTCATCCTTCAAGCAATGGTTAGAATTATTAGACAGCATGGGATTAATTTCCACTGTTATGCTGATGATACTCAGCTATATCTGTCTATCAATCCAGAGGAAGCTAACCCTAAACAACGTAAGTTAACGTATCCAAAATACAACTTGTGAAACGTATATCACAGTCAACAAACAATACAGCGCCCCAGTCTTTACCAGTGACACTCCAACAGGTAATATGCCCACTAACAAAGCTCTTGTTCACCCACCTCTTGTTTACCCATTCCTCTACAAACATACAACTATAAACAAAACCATAACAGCTATAAAGCCAGACAAACGAACACCAAAGTACATTTTCATTTATGGCTTCTGCAGTTGGCCTCGTCCTCTTTAAAAAAATACAAAATTCCACAACACATGCAAAGAAAATACAAACTTCCTGTTTATATGAAATGCTTTGATTAATTAAAGCAATTCATTTTACATAAAGGAAACAACATTTTGCATATAAAATGTTTGTTTTATTCACATCACTCATACAAACCTGTAGAGCTTGCGATATCTAGTAGACGGTAATTCGAGGTCCAAATGAAATGACTTACACCAACAGTGGAACAAAAAAGGTGGAAGAATAAATCAACCAATTTTTAATACTGATTAATGCACAAATAAATAAGTCCTTTACCATTTATCTGTTGTAGATAATAAATAATAAAGCAGCCACTGTATTCTATCTTTGGGTAAATCATCTACAGTGCTTCAACCTCAGTAACAATCAGGTGTTCATTAAAGCATTAGAACAATAAAGATCATTGTTTCTAGATGAGAACAGAAATAAATATTTCACAATATAAACCTGAAATAAAATGAGCAACAGATCAACGTCCTTATTACTAAAATACATTCATTCAGTAAAATCTTACATTTGTTTGTATTGTTTTTTCTTTCTTTCTTTTCCTTCTGAACCAAACGATCCACATTATCATCAGAACCATCAGAGCTGCTGCTATCAGTGGGATGTAGAGGAAGATCGTTCCTCGTCTCTCTGCTTCTGGAGTCAAAGTTGGTCTCTGAGTTTGGATCTGATCAGCAGCTGCTGGAGAGAAATCAGAAATATTTATTCATACTTGTTCACGTTCAAAGCAGGAGGCTTCTTCTAGAAGATGATGATGTTTGTTCATCAACGAAAAATGGATTTAGAGGATTTATTCTCACCAGAGACGTTGAGGAGACATTTTTCATAGCCTGAGCCTCCATCAGTCTCCACCTCACAGACATACAGACCAGAGTCTTCAGTCCTCAGTCTGGACACATGGAGTCTGATTCGTCCTTCTCTGAGGACGTCTTTGTCACTCTGGACTCGTCCTGAGAACTGTTCATCCTGAGACTCTGGCACCTCAACACCATCATGGACACGAAAGACGACTGAATGTCTATTAGAAGTAAAGAAGCTGCAGAGAACAAACAGCTGACTCCAGGATCCATGAGGTCTGGTGGTGAAGGTCCACTCCAGAGTGATGTTGTGCTTCTCCACTGAGAACTGGAACATGGGAGCCTTTAAAGTCCATCTCTAGAGGTTTCTGTCTCATGATGGTCTCTGTGCTGTCAGAGCTCTGCTTGATTCTCTTCTAGTCAAACCGCTGGATCAAATGCAGCAGGAGGATTGAAGTGTTAGCTTCACTGACAGACTTTTCACTGATTACTGATGGATTTAGAACAAAGAGAATATGGAAACTGACCACAGAGACATGAGCTGAGGATGATGATGATAATGATGATGAGCAGCGGGATCCAGCAGATCATCTTCATCCTGCTGGAGGAGGCAGAGGAGAAGAGTCAGCAACACATCAGCTCCACCATCACTCAGAGACAACAAGGAACATCTGAACTCCTAGAGCCAAAAGGTTTCCATCACTGCCAGCTGATCAATCAGAATTACACAACTTTTTATTTCTTTATCCAGCAGATGGCAGCAGACTGACTTTAGAAGAACAGAAGCTCAACAAGATCAACACAATTTTTTTTATTGATTTACTAAAAATAATATTTACTTTGTCACATTATATCAGAAATAATAACCCAGCTAGACTGAGTTTCTGTGTGAATGATAAACAGATCTGGATCAAATATTTGTTTCTGACAGAGTGAGGAAATGAACATGGAGACGTTACTTCAGAGACTTTCGGTTCAGGGACATGTGGTGTCAAATGTGATGCTCTCAGACTTTCTCCTGTGTCAGCTTATAACCACGCCCCCATCAATGCTGAGGGAACGCGACTTCTTTGCCAAAACAGACACATTTTCCTTCTATCTTCTCCTCTTGTAGCTCCTACTACTGCGGTGAATGAACTTGGTAAAGTATGGCAGGCCATTTTGACATTTATTAAAAGCACTCCTCTTTTGTTCCATTTGTTGATCTCTAAAATAAGGTTCTTCCTGGTCAAATCTACATTCCTTCTAGTCAGAACTGTACATAAAGATATCCTAAAATACATTTTTGCATTTTATAATTATATTTCAGGATGCAACAAATATTGTACTAGAATAAACTTCCAGATATGTGAAAATCTTTATAAATGTACAGTAGACCTTTTGAAATTTATTAGCTTGACTGAATATATTTCAGATGTTTCAAATGCATTTTTCTTCCTATCTAATATAAAGATTTAAGATATCTGAAATGTAATTCTTAACAGTACAAATGACACATTTCCCATTCATGTGTATTGGGCTATTGCTTCCAGATATCTAAAATAACATTCTTCCTATCTAAACATTTATTCTAAAGAGGATTAATTCTAATTTCAGATCTCCATAATAGAGTTAATGCTAGTCAAAATTACTATTACTAAATTACTATTTCAGTAAATATCAAAAATGAACATTCTAGATATCCAGAAATGCAATTACTGACATATATATTTCTGCTAGTGAAAATATAAACACAGATATCAACAGCGGCTACATCGTGTACAAACTTCCTGTTTTCAAAATAAAACTGTAGGCCTAGATTCTGAAGCCATGAAGCTATCAAACTAGAATATTGATATTTATCATATTTACAAAAAATTATAAATATTTAGAGATTTCATATTAAAACTAAATGGTGTATCTAATGAAACCAGTCCAATACCACGATTTCTTATAGATTTTGAGTCAATTGATCACAAAACCTATTCTGCTAATATCTACACAGAAATATAGCATAGACAAAAATGCTTTTATAACTTACTGAACAACCACTTCCTGGTTGTTTGCAAACTCCTGCTGTTGGCGTCTGCAGGCGAGGAGGGAAGAAATCCATCTCTGAACAGTAAAGAAAAACTGAGAGACAACAACAAATAAAAATGGTTTCATTGAGTAACCAGCTATGAAGTCGCAGTTACATGTTGGTGTTTTATTGTGTTTAAAAGGTTAACC